TTGAGCCCAAAACAAATGATGTCTATTCACCCCTTGTTTAGACAAGCCATCCACCAAACCATTAGCAGACCTCCTCACCCATCTTAACTGGACTTGCATATGTCTTGACAGCAGCTTCAACCGTCTGAGATCATTTCTGAATTGCCATAATACCCCTTCTCTTTTTTTAAGCCATCCAATGACTATTTTAGAATCTCCTTCTATTAATCTTGCAATCCCCATTTCCTTGGCCTTTTGCACCGCAACAATAGCCGCCAAGAGCTCAGCTCTCACAGAGTCATCCTGCCCAATAGGCCCCAAAAACAAGCCACAAATGATCCCATTCCCATCCCAAATTAATCCAATTCTGGAGTGACATGCATTACCAAAACTACTTCCATCAAAGTTAAGTTTCATCCAGCCTTCACTTGGGAGAGACCAAACCTCCAAGACCTTTTGATTCCTAGAAGAAAAAACAATCGACCTCCAGTTTCGGAAAAAATCCTCCACTGAAAAATCAGAGAAAAGCTTCAAAGTCCTCACCCAATGAGCAACTCTAACAGTAATAGTCTCCAAGATTACTTCCTTGTTTCTTTCTTTATCCCCAAAAATTCTTAAGTTTCTTTCTTTATCCCCAAAAATTCTCAAGTTCCTTTCTTCCCACACAGTCCACACAATTTCTGCTCTCATGCACTTCCAATTCCAAACTAACGGGAGGGCTCTACCTGCAACCAAATAGAGAGCAGAACCAATCACAAATACAAGCAAAAGGGCGGGAAATAAGGAGATGGATAGCACTCTCACCATTCAACTTACACAAAATGCACCAATTGGGAGCAAACACCAATTTGGCCTTTTCTTTTGCAACAGATCACCCATGTTGATGTTCTCATGATAAGCTTCCCAGTAAAAAGCACCGACTTTTGGGGGGACAGGGGCACACCAGACTTCTTTAATAGAGAAAGGATGGGGAGGGGGAGAGGCCACTAGTGAAGAGAAAAAATATTTACAAGTGATAGATCCAAAGGGACTGAGATTCCACACTCGTTTATCTTCCCTAGACTCATCAAAAACCAAGTTATCCAAGATATTCAAAAGGTTAAACACAACAAGAATTTCAGATTCTCTAAGGTTTCTCACAAACCCTAAGTTCCAACCCTCCCAAGGGGAAGAAGAAGACCCAAAGAAATTAGAAACGGGATTATCTTCAAGGCTTGAGAGAGCATACAATGAAGGGAATACCACTTTCAAGGGAAGATCCCCAACCCACCCATCTTCCCAAAATTTGATCCTAAAACCAGAGACCAAGTCATACCTGATGTGCTCAAGGACTCGAGGATGAATACCACGCACTGCTTTCTGCAATGTAGCATTGTCAACTCTATGCAGAATACCAGCATCCCAGCCATTCCTAGAAAGCCCATGAATACCAGCATTGTTAGCTCGAGACCACTTTATGCCACAATCTGCCATTCTCCAGGGGGAAACACCACAAGCACTTGCTTAAAAGTGCAGTGTTTTCCTTCCTAATGTTTCCCAGACCACCCACCCTCCTCCTTCCTTTTGACCACCTTCTCCCACCTAACCAAATGATCTTCTCTTCTATCTCCAGGCTCCCACAAGAAGTCTCTCCTCAATTTTTCTATTCACTTTACAATTGCTTGAGGCATACTAAAAACAGGCATGTAATAGACAGGGAGGTTAGCCAAGGTGGATTTGATCAAACTAATTCTCCCCCCTAAAGAGATGTAATTCCTTTTCCAACCAGCAAGCATTTTCTCAATTCTCTCCACCACAGGGTTCCAAAAGCTGATAGACCTCGGATTGCCACCAAGAGGTAAACCTAAATATTTTAAAGGCCACACACCTCTCTCACACCCCAAGATCTCCACAAATGAACACAACTCCTCTTCGATAACATTTATACCCACCACCGCACTCTTATTCCCATTGTTTCTTAAGTTAGACATTCTTTCAAAGAGGCTAACCCACTAGCTTCAAGACTTCTACCCCATTAGTATTTTCCCCCTCACAAAAGATCAAGATGTCATCTACAAACTGGAGATGGGATACCACCACACTATTCCTTCCCAGTGTTTCCACCTCCCATCCTTTAAAGAGATGCAACTGGCTAGACCTAGAAATCAATCTACTCAGAACCTCTACCACCAAAAGGAAAAGGGGTAAGGGGAAACCACACTACTATCTGCATATATAGTTTCAATATCCCAAAATGTTAAATGTTCCACTTTTGAATAACTAAGAGAATTTCTAAATGAAGTTTAAATAATTTAAGAGATCTACAAGGAATCATTTCCTATCTATTTATCAATGTCCACAAAGCATTTACTAGTCAGTTGACGGCCAGATTGACTAAACCACAAACTAGTCAGTCGATACTCATGACACAGTCACCTAGGATGAGAAAGCATTAACTAGTCAATGTAGTCAACCACAATCTTACTTTAAAATCCTATTTGATTGTTTTTATGATTTTATCTCTAATTATTTGAAATAATACAATAAATGCTTTGATTTTGTTATATGCATTCTACTCAAGTAATTGTGATGGCATATGGTTGTTTGATGGTGTATAAAATACAAATAAAGGCATAAGATAAAAGAAGACAGTAGCCAGGTTCTTTTAAATTTTCTCACAATTTGTATTGTACTGGTACAAGATTTCCACATGCACAAACAATGGGCGAATCAAATGGTCAAGGTCAAACTCTTCTTTCAAAAACAGAGGCTTTAACTCCCTAGCACCTGGCCTTTCTTTTTTATGTTTACAAAACAGAAACTATAAATTAAATGTTCTATATCATTCTATTATTGGATATTTGCAGTTTATAGTAATTTAGAGATTGCATCAATATGTTAAATTTAGAACATAAATTTTTCTGTTGATTATTTGACTAGTCAAAGACTAAATACCAATTAGCCATTGCATTGACTAGAGATAGAGAGGCCACAAATGACTAGTAATCGCCTCATACCATTATTAACACTGCTATTTATGTCTCTATGTGTTTACTGGGGGACATAGTTTTTTTATGAATACTGGGGGGATATAGTTTGTAATCAATGCAACGTTCATCACATTAAACCTCCTTTGTCTTATAGCTACTCCATTGAAAAAAAGCATTTTATACAGTACATGATAGTCATAAGAAACGAAGGACAAATTACAAGTCGTGCACATCCACATTATTTTATTATTAGTAACAATCAAGGAGTTCTATTAATTTGTAACAAGAATGGTTTACAGATTTGCAATGTCATCTGGTCAGTTGTAGGATATCATTCACTGCCTACCTCAACATATTTTACACCATGTTCCCCGTGGAACCAGCCCCCAAAAGAAATGTGATCTAGGAGGTGGTACATGAGAAAATCATCACTTGGTATAATCTTCAAAAGAAAATTCTGAATTAGTGCATCTCTCCTAATATGTGTCCTTTGCAAAGTGAATTGTGAGACTGTCTTACACTTACTAATCTCCTATCCTTTTGTCTTTGCTATTTGGAATTTCCCAGGCTCCCAAAGAAAATCCCTCATAATCTTCTCACAACCATGATCAGGATTTTAAATACTTACAGGAAACAAACAGGTAGATTAACAACGATAGAGTTGTCAAAGTAATACTACCCCCGCAAAGAAATATAGTTCATTTTCCAATTGAAGCTTCAGAATCTATCCACGTTTGGATTCTAAAAGTTGTAGGCTTAAGGATTTTCCTCCCAAAGGTAAATCTAGGTATTTCACAGGACACTCTCCCCTCGCACACCTATCCATTAACATATCTTCCCACTATTGTCTCTTCAGTGTTGACTCCCACTATACAGCAATTCTTAAATTTGGCAATCCTTAAAAACACCTGATAAAGCAATGTAGATTCTGCTCCTTCCACACTTCTATCTTCACAAAAACATAGGATATTGTCAATGAACTCCAAATGTGAGAAATAGCATTCTCCTTCCCTATCCTCCACCCAAATACCAACTCTAGTCTATCCGCTCTAGAGATCTTCTACTAAAAACATTACTAATACTGGTGAAGGGAAAAGGTAAAAGGGGGGTCCCCTTATCTAAGTCCCCTTCACCATAATCAAGTACTGGCATGATTTTAGGCACCCCATTACACATTTCTTCCATTTCTCACCAAAGCCACCTCTCTAAGGCCAAATCCCAAAAAGACCAATCTACCATATCATAGGCTTCTTCTAGGTCTAGCACTCTAGCTTACACATCAAACCTTTCTTCCCCCTTCTCTTTGTGTCTTGTACACATTCATTGGCCACCAATATTTTGTCAATAATTTGCCTTCCTTGTACAAATGGCCCTTGAGATTGGGAGATGATGGAAGGCAACATGTCCTTAAACCTTATGAACAGGATCTTGGAAATTATTTTGTAGAAACCTCCAACCAAATTGATTGCTCTGAAGTCTTTGGAATGGGCCACTTCAAGGTTCGTAGGGATCAAAGCCACAAAAGTTCCATTGGTCCCTACATAATAATGTCACTATCATAGAATTCTTCAAATGCTTCCTTTAGATCAACTTTTATAATTTCCCAAAACCCCTGAAGAAGCCAAAGTGAAACCATCTGATCTAGGTGCCTTTCTCTGCACACATTTGTAAGAATAGACTTATTATGGGCTAGGCTTTTGACAAAATTTGAATAGGCCCGGCCCAATGCCCAAGTCCAAAACAGTGTAAAGTTGGGCCCAACAGGCCACTCGTGAACAGGTCTAGTTATGAATAAACAGCCTCCTAATAACTATAAATCAACAATATTGACTAGAAGACTTCAAATTTCAAAATCTTACAACGAAATACTTCTACCAACGATAATCATCTTGAAGTACAAATAAAATAGAATTAACATAAAGACATCAATATATGGAAAAAACTAGGCCAAGTCAATGGAATAAGAAAAGGCTGCTATGCACAGTCAAAAGATGTTCTCACTGGCTGCAACTTGAATAAATTATCAACAAATATAAGAATATCATGGCTGACCTTGAGATCTGCAAATAAAGAAAAAGAAATAATTAGCATGGTTTAAGCCACAAGAATATATCAAAAGCATATACCATCATAAAAAGAGAAAACTGTTCAAAAAACTGCATAGCATGTTCTCAAATTACCAACTCCTAACCACTGTAGACTAAACAAATGTTGCTTTATTCAAATCCCTGACTAACAAGTGTTAAACAAAGACAATCTTAACACCACCACGTTACTTTTATTTTTGTTTATAATGTAATCTTGCAGGTCCAAACAAAATGCATAATCAAGTATATATGACAGTTAACATATAATAATGAGTAAAAAGCCATAAAGGATTAGAAGATACTGTGACAATGTCTTACAAGCCACTTAAATTGGTAACTAAGGAGAACCACAATTAGTAATTTTGACAGTGAAAAAGAACCACAAAAACCATTTTCCACTTGAGGGTTTTCCTTTTTCCTTATCAAAAACATATCAAAGATTGTTAAGCTAGAAGAAAAAACAGAGAGATAGAACCTCATAATTTTTTTATCACTAGATACAACCCTATCATTGTCCAAGTAGGAAGAGTAATGGGACCACATATCATAATAGTGGTGCACAACACAGTACAGAGAACCCTTATCCTGTGAGGGTTATGGAAGATGACAAAGCGTCTGAGCCAATGTTTTAAAACGCGGAGGCGTGACGCGAGGCATTCCACTACCTAGAGACGTGAGGCGTAGTTCAGAATGCAAGAGGCATAAGCCTCCTTAAGGGGAGGAGGGTTAGGAGGAGGATGAAGAGGAAGGGGGATCTCATTTTTTCTTTATTTTAATAAAAATCTTTTATATTAAGAAGAATAAAAATGCATAACATTAGTTGAAAGGGGGGGGGGGGGGTCTTGTCGAAGCGGAGGCGAGTGAGCGAAGCAAGACCCCCCTAACTCAAAAAAAAACAAATAGGGCTGCATTGAAAAGGGGGCGGGCCGAAGGGGCAGGGGGCAAACCACTTTCTTTCCCCTTATCTCTTCTTCCCTTTCCTTTCCTTTCCTTTTCTCCTTTTTTCTTCTCTTTCTTTTTCTTTCCCTTCCCTTTCTTTTTTCTTTTTTTTCTGTCTTTTTACATCAGATGTGCATGAGGCGTACGCCTCAGAGGTGTCAGTGCCTCTGGCATACGCCTCAGAGCGTTTTGGGAGCGCCTCGCTTGGAGGCGCGACGTACGCCTCCAGGCCCTTCCCACGCTTTTAAAACACTAGTATGATCCCTTTTTCTATAGTAAAAGAATTTTTTTATTAAAAAATAAAAGAAGACAACATACAACCACAATTGGGTGCTAGGAAACCACCACCAAAAAAAAAGCCAAAGGACTGCCACCTACTACATACCTGGCACCCTCTCCCCATTTCGAAAAATAAATACTCACAAAACATACTCTGCTTTGGACAAACAGGCCAAACCGGACACAAACAAAAAAGTCTTCCCCAAAATCAAGTCTCACAACCCCACCCCCTACTAAACTCCAATGTCAATCCTCCCCGTCAAGTAACTACTCTTGTCCACCCTCATTCCAAATTTCCCCTTCTTCAACAAGGACTTTCTTTAGCCTTTCTTCCCTATTGTTCCACTCAAACTTTTCAAAAGCTCTCCTAGGAAAAACCTCAACTCCTAAGAAAAACAAGCCTAAGGATTTGTCAACCTTGACATCCCTGTCAACCAACTTTTCGATCTCTATACAACCTTTTTCCTTCCCCCGTCCCTCTGAGGACACCTCAAAAATTCTTTTTTCAACTTCACTGCCACCTTCCCTATTCTTCTCCTCCGAAACTGTCTCCACCTCCCCTACAAGCGAACCCATCACCTACCTATTCTTACAGCCAAAGCTAAACTGGACAACCTCCTCTCCATCATGAGCCCCACGGCCAGAAACTCTTTGCTTTGCTTCCCTTCTTTTATACAAAATTTTGTACTTGTTAGCCACAAAAACACCTTAGTGACATGCACAATGTGAGATTTATTTGAGCTCCCACGAGTCTTAGAAGTCACTGGAACAGAACTTAATTCATCTTCATCAACTCCAAGTTTTTCCAGACAGATTTCGAAAACCAGCTGGTTACTTCCATCTTCATCAACTCCAAGCCCGATGGTTTTACCATCTTGTTCTATAAGAAGTGCTGGGAATTTATTAAAGAATATTTAATAAAGGTAATTGAGGAGTTCCATGAATTGACCACCCTGTGAAGAAGCCTTAATGCTACCTTCATCTCTCTAATTCCAAAGAAGGATGAGGCAGAACACCTCAAGGATATCAAGCTGATCAGCCTGATTGGAAGTGTATATAAAATTATTGTGAAGCTATTAGACTTAACATTGAGAAAGGTTATGAGTTTTCTAATTTCACAACAGAAAGCTTCTTTTGTCCACAATTGGCACATCCAAGGAATTCTTATCACCAGTGCATTGGTTCAAGATTGAGAAGCAACAAGACAGATATTGCATGCAAGGTGGACCTAGAAAAGGCTTATGATCACATCAACTGGGATTTCTTGGACTACTTGTTAAAACGATGTAGTTTGGGCAAGAATGGAGGAATTGGATGAAGGTTTGCATCTTCAATCCAAGACTCTTGGTTTTAGTCAATGTCCCAGCTAGGGGTAACTTTCCTATCTCTAGAGGTTTGTTGCTACCCCTTCTCTTTCTTATTGTGATGGGAAGTTTGGGTAGAATGACAACCAAAGCTTCTGATGAAGGTCTAACAGAAGGCTTTGATGTAAGAAATGGTGGAAGGAAGATCTCTTTGTTCCAATTTGTTGATAATACCCTCTTCTTTTGTGATGCTAAGGCAGAGCAAGTGCAGCACCTCAGATTCCTTCTCTATTGGTTTGAAGTTGTGTTTAGGCTGAAAGTTAATCTAGCCAAAAGTGAACTTCTTCCAATTGGAAATGTTGCTAACTTAGACTCTCTGGCCAAGGAGTTCGGTTGTGGCATTGGTTTCCTGTCGTCTTAAGTACTTGATAATGTCATTAGGGCCAAGTGCAATTCCAAAAGATTTTGGATCCTGTGGTAGAGAGGATGGAAAAGAAATTGGCTTCATGGAAGGAAATTGCCGTCTTAAGTACTTGATAATGTCATTAGGGGCCAAGTGCACTTCCAAAAGCATTTTGGATCCTGTGGTTGAGAGGATGGAAAGGAAATTGGCTTCATGGAAAGCAAAGTATCCATCTAAAGGTGTTTGTCCTTATTAAAAGTGTCTTTGCAAGCCTTCCTGCTTATTATATGTCAATGTTTCCCATTCTAGTAGTTGTGGCTAAAAGATTGGAAAAAAACCATGAGGGAGTTTTTTTGGCCGAGTTGGAAGGACTCCTCCAAAATTCATTTGGTTAAGTTGGACCAGGTTTGCCAACTGCTAGGCTTAGGGGGTCTTGGCATAAGAAAGGTGAAGCAGTCCAACATCTCTCAAGTGTTTAGAAAACCAGACCGGACTGGCCAGTCAGACCAGTTGAATCGTGACTCAGGGCCCTAACCATTTCGGTCACACCCCAATAACCGTATTTACTAAAAAACTAGTGAAAACTAGCTGACCCAGCAGTTTAACCGGAAAACCGATAACCCGTTGCTGGTTTCACGAAACCACCAGCCATTAAGTACTTGAAATTTTAAAATGAGTTTGAGAAGACTTGAACCCATGACCTCTTATTTTTATATATTACTTTACTACTACTAGCCCACCTCTTTACTTGTGTTATTTAATGACTCTTATTGTATATATCACTTTATTACACTCATATTTTAAAGAAAATGCAAATTATGAAACTTGAACCCTGGTCATTTGCTTTAAAAATTAAGGAACTTTCCATCCATCCACCATATTTAAGTATATTAAAAGTAGTAAAATATATTATATATAGTACTTTTTTTTGAAAAAGGTAAGGTAATTTTATTAACTGAATCAGAGAATAAAAGGGGTTCCAGCAAAGGTAAGGCAATAATATAAATACGATATTATATATAGTATTTATATAACCCATAGTATATATACATATATGCCATGTCATCACGGTTCGACCCCGGTTGAACCTCCGACCCGTGAACCTCTCCCTTCTTCGGTTTTATGCCTGATCAGGTTCTCTGAACATTGCATCTCTCTTCTTGGAAAGTCACTTTTGCATTTCTTGTCAGAATCATAAGGACTGGAGAAATCTAATTGTTGAAAAAGTATGGATGCCATAGAAATGAAAGGAAGGCAGAAGAGTCTCACATTTTATAGTGTGTGGAGAGGGTATCTGTAAGGCCTACCCCCAATTCACTAAAGGAATCAAGTACGAAATTGGCATGGGCAATAAGGTGAAGTTCTGGAGAGACCTGTGGTGTACCAACTCTCCTCTTAGTGAGTGAGTTATTCCCTATTCTCAGCAAGCAGGAAAAAAAAAGGTACAGTGGCTGAATTCTATGATGTGGAGAGGGGGCTTCTAGTGTAGACTCCTATCTTTAGGAGAAGTTTCAATGGTTAGGAGTTGAAATCAAATTGCTGATTTGCCATCCTTGGTACACCAGAAAAGGTGTAACACCATAGAGCAAGACACCAGATTTGAATGTAGCAGCACTTAGATGTCCTCTCAGTGAAGTCTTTTTACAGGAATGTATCTGGTGGTGAGAGGGTTGGCTCTCCTCTCGTAGAGCTTTTCTGGGGAGTTCAGCCATTCTTTTGTCTAGAGACTTTTTTAGGAGCTCTTAGATGCCCTGTGGCTGATGTAGAAAATCCTTGTACAGAATCATTTTGATATTAATACATTATACTTTACCTTTTAGAAAAAAAATGTATGCATGTTCTTTCATAAGAAACATTCTAATGACATGAATCAAGTGCGACCAGTTTAGTTACAATGAGTTATGAATTTGAAGAGCATGCAAAGAAAGTTAAAAATATACTAATAGGAAGAATAAAATGTGATTTTTAAGTTACAAAGGAAAAGGACTGCAAGGTTGAAAACCATGTCAGGGTGTTCACGCATACTTGATAACTCTAGTCTAGCATGTTTTTAACTATCAAAATAGACACCAAAGTTTCACCTAAGCAGACTAGCATCAACTTTGCACAGCACCCATAGGATATTTCATTCATTCGTATCCAACATTTTCCACAAGGCAACCATGATTGAGAATGAGAATAAATGTCAAGCAATATTCTGGAGGTTGTGACATTATATAAGAATTAGCCAATATCTTTACAAGAACAGTAAGCCTGAGAATGGTAAGGTTGTTTACATAGTTGTCAAGGCGGGCGCCTAGGCGACAAGGCTCCCTTTGAGGCTCGCCTCGCCTAATCGCCAAGCAGTTTTCTACTTCCTACTATAAAATACTTTTTTATTCATTCTTTTTGAGATTATAATGATAAAATAGACATTATTAAACTAAAATAATCATTTTGAGTGTTTATATACTAATTTATTTTTATTATTTTCTTATTTATTAGGGTTTAATCAACACAAACACTGCTAAATTCTGTATTGAACCCTCAAAGACTTAAAAACCTGAACCAAGAAGTAAGGAAGAACTTAAAATTTTATCTAATCAGAGCATATTTTCCTCTTCCATATATTCTTCTTCTTCTTCTTCTACTACTACCAATACTTTTTATTTTCTTCTTTTCCTATAACAAAAATAAGGGTTCAGCCCCTATATTTTTTGAATTTTATTTCCCTTCTTCCTTTTCTTCTCATGAATATGTTGATTTTCTATACTTTAATATGAAATTTATACTTTTCTTATGAATATCATGAATAATTATTAAGGAAATATGGTTATGGTACCTAGGAAACTACCCTAGGATCTATGTTTTTAACATAAAAAAATCCATCGCCTAGGCGTTGCCTAGGCACCCGCCCAGGCGACTAGGCAAAAAGGCACCCCCCAGTCGCCTAGCCTCGCCTTGGCGCCTTGAAAACTATGGTTGTTTATGGCTAGTAGGGAAGATTGCTTCATTTAGGAGGTGTTAATATGACAATTTTGGAGGTATCCCATCTTGTATTATTTACTAGATGGTAGTTAGAAGAACAAGAACAAGAAGGAAGATTTCTGACACAAAAACAAATTTATTGCTAGAATTCATTTTTCTTGCCTTAGACTAAAAGCTGGTATAACTAGCCAAGGTAAATTTCTTTGCTCAGTAAGTGGAGTTTTTTTTTTTCATCAGCAGTGAAGACTATTGTTGCTTTGATTAAGAAAGTGAAGATTTTTTCATCAATAACTGAAACTTTCATTAAGAGAATTAATGAAAGTAATGGCAATGAAGATGAACAAAATGCAGGTGTCTGTAACACCTCTTAAATCCATAAATGAACCAAATACAACTTAGCAGAACTCCCACATGAAGAGTACAATTTATAACTTCTTTATTGGTGGCAAAAAGATAAATTTTATGTTTACCAAGCATCATTGATACAAGCATGTACAACTCTGGGCAAAACCCTGCCTCAGCCCCCACAACCAAAAAAAAAAAGAAAAGGCAAAGTAATATCTTTGTACAAATGGAATTTCATTTGATTGGGGTGAACTGTTATCATAATCTTTCAAATTCATATTGTACAATTTTAACTTAATCACCAGTCCGCACTTTCTAATGGCAAGCTCTAATTACAAGAAAATCTCTGCCTAAAACATTATCACAAATCCAACCAGCATGATAACAGAACATAAGATTGGGAAGATTCGGTTTTCCATACATTGATGTATCATGTGTGGTTAATATAAAACATTAATCTAGATAAAGCATATATAATTATTGTTTGAAAAAGTGACAATGCATGTATAACAAGCAATAATACATTAGAATAACAAATATGCTTTCAATAAAACAAAAACCTAGAAACATGGTAAATGTTAGAACATACCCTTCATTATCCCGAGAACGAGATCGAAAGCGAGGTTCTCGATTAGCTGCTTGTGTTGTACCCCTTGGCCGAAGCATTCTCTTACGCTGTTGGACACCATAACCAAAAACTTCTCTTTCTCTTTCAGTACCTCCATCACCCTCCATGCACCCATCATCTGGTTCCTTATCATAACACCTAGTGCGCTTTTCATGCCTATCTCCTTCTACATCTGCCTCCCTTTCTTTTCTCCTTTCTTTAGCATCCCTATCAGCACCTTTCCAGCCATCAAATTCTTTGTGTCTTTTCTGTTCTAGTACTGGATTTTCTTGTTCAGGTATTTTGATGGATCCATCCATCAAATCCTTCTCATTGTGCAAGCCCTCCTTCTCAGCTCCATTCAATGTTTCCCTCTTAATATGATCTTTTTCCCTCTCCTTTGGTCGCTCCTTGTCTTTTGGAATATCCTTTCTCTCCCTCTCCCACCTCTCTGTTTCTCTTTCTTCTCTTGTTGGCCGTTCACTACCACCATTACCTACTTGCAAGTTGTTTCGACGATCATTTCTGTCCTTGTCCCTTTCTCCCCAATCTCTGTGTTTTTCATCCTTTCTTTTCCTTTCCTTCTCTTTGAATTTTTCCTCAGATTTCAGATCAACCTTGTTCTCCCCAACAGTGTCATGTGTTTCTAAATAATCCCGCTCTTCATTTGTTAAAGCTTCTTTTCTGATCTCATTTGGACCATGAAGATTAGTCCGTGACATACGCCATGGATCTAAACCATCATCTAGTGCTTCAGGATGTCTTTTTACTCTATGGTGTTCCTTAGGTTCTTTCCAAATCAAGTGAGAACTTCCTGCAGTGAAACTATCCTTTTCAATCTTAATTTCACCCTTAAAACCTGCATGAGCTTCCCTATCATGTTTTGATTCTTTATTATCATCTCCTCTACCTTCTATCCTTACATCTTTTTCACCTTTGGAAGATTGAAAATCCACCCTTCCTTCGGTGTATGATTCCCTTCCTTCTGCCTTAATATCTCTGTTCTCAACCTTGGAATCTCTGTTGTCCTTGGAGTCTCTAGATTCCATCCTGTTCTCTGAAGTGAGTGAATGGTCCATAGCTGATTCATTAGAGGATGACGGCATCCTATAAATTGGAAGAATAGGTGATCTTTTATCTGCTTCACAGGATTCAATCCGGGGGACTTTTGCCAACCGCCCATCTGGGCCTGGTTCAAAGGGTGGATGATATTCATTGGCAATTGACTGTGTTAGTTTCCCTGAGGAATTAGAAAAAACGGTGCTATCTTCAAGTGGGTGTTTGGAATTAGTAGGATGGCTTCCATCCTCATGCAATCTTTTGGGAGCACCACTCATAATGTTCTCAAAGTTACAACTTAATCAGTTTTTGTCTTAGAAACATTTGCTAATTTCTACCTGAAAATCAAAGTCAAGATGCAATCAAACATCCAGGAGTTTCTTAGTATAAATCCTACCATGCTGTTTATGCATCAAAAATAAAGAAAAAGAAAACAAGAAAAGTAGTGATAGCAAACACTACGTCGTGTTAACATCAAGTCAAATGGGTTACCAAGGAGCCATAAACGTTGGCATCTTAACATTCAAATGAAAAAAAAAAAAAAGAACTTTTATGGATTTTTTAAATAGTGCCTGAAAATATAGATAAAAAAAATACACCATCAGACAAAAAAATAATACCTCAAATTACAGACAGAACCACAAATTCCACAGCCAAGGCTAATAGGATTAAATGGATTAACAAAAAATAATTTGTGAACACATTTTTGAATCCTTAGTAACAGGGAAATGAGCATATAAAGAAGTTCAGAATAAACAAAAGTATTAAAAGTTAGAGAGAGAGAGAGAGAGAGAGAAGATAGAAGAAAAAACTGCAGAACCAACAGACTAAAGCAACCACATCAATGGCGAAAAAATAAACTAAAATATATTACAGAAAATACACAATTTGCAGAACTGAATCAGTTTCCACATTGAAGAAAGGGACCAAAAATCTTAAAAATTTGCAAAAGTAGTCTCTTGTTTACATGGATGAGATGATCGGATCTAAAATGGCATAAAAACAAAAACAAAATTAACGAGAACTAGGGTTTTCCATGAAGAGCGAAACAAACATGAGAAGAGACAACACTATAGAAGAATACCGCAGAGCCATAATAGAGGAGGAAGAGAAGCTCACCTCGGTGCTCGCTCAGCCGCTCGAACTGCAGATTCTCGTCCACGGTCTCCCCTGTTGTTTCTTCTTGCCTTATATAAATTGCCCAAGACACATTTTATTGGCTTCTGCATAATGACTAAAATGCCCTACTGCTAGTGTTGAAGTTTGAGCATAAACCAGACCCAAAAGAGGAAATTTCCATGTTGCTTGCGCCATGGTAGGGGTGCAACTTGGTGGAGAGGAGAGGGGGGCCAAGCCGAGCCCGGAGCGATCCATCCCGCAATTTTACAGGCTTGGGTTTTCGGTCCTCGGGCTGGGGCCGGGGCTAAAAGTAGGCTTTCTTTAATTTTTAGTTTGAGCCGAGACCTAGCCATTAGTAGTCAAGAGCAGTGCAAATCTGGCCAGACCTAATATCAATCATCCATATCCACGATCATGGGATCATGGATATAGGATACGTCACGAATAGGTATTGTATCTCATGAGTCATGTGTATCGGCATATTATGCCTAGTTAGTGTCGTTTTATATCCATGGATATGGTACGTCATGTATACAGGTGGATATGGTCCCATATGCATTAATACTTAGGGCCCATTTGGCAAATCTTTTTGGGAAGATCTTTTCGTACTTCTGACAGTCAAAAAACTCATTGAGCTTTTGCATGAAAATCTAAGCAGCCCGAAACTAGTTTGGCATATGCACGTCTTTCTGTGTCTTTCTGTGTGAGAATAAAATGCGAAAGACACGAAAAGCTTCATTTGGAACTTCCCAAAAACAGCTCAAAATGGGCTTTTCGTGTCTTTTCAGTGCTCCGGCTTTTGACGATTAGATCTTCCGTGAACCAAATGGGAATAGACCGAAAATCGGTTTGCTTGGCTTGTAAATAGCCGAAAGACCCTATGGAAAGACAAGCCAACCGGGCCCTTAGTTTGACAAAATTACGTATTGATTGCTTTTGGATTGTCTTTCAATTTTAATAAAAATTAAAAATTAGAATTAAAAAAAATAGAACAAATAATTTAAAATTTAGCTTTCCCCAAAATGTTAATATAAACTATAAATTATAAAAATAATATATTTGATCTACCTTGAATGATTTATATGTTTTATTTTACATGTAATTATATGTTAAAAATGAAAACAAATTTATTATTTGGAAAAAATAAAATTATTATATAAAAACTAAATAAATAATTTTTTCAACAAAATTAATAGAAAATATAAAATTATACTTACAAAAACTAAAATGCATAATGTAAGATTTAGTTTTCCCCAAAAAACTATAAAATAATTTATTTTATCTGCTTTAAATGATTTATATGATTTATTTTACAAGTATACGTAAAATAAAACAATTATTTGTTAAACATGATAACATATTTATTATCGAAATAGAATGATAATTGAAAAGTACAAGTATAAAAATCGAAATAGAGTGGTATTGTATGATGTGTCAATGCTCTAGAGTCCTAGTATTGTTGATTGTAATGTTTCTCTCTTCATACAACTTGTTAAAGTGTTTATTTCTCATGTGTTTATACCTTATTCATAGGTATTCATGGGTCGGGCTTCAAGCCTAACTTACACTGTGTCAGGCTTGGGCTTCGCACTAGGCCCCATTCAAATTTTGGCAAAAGCCAAGCCCGAGCTTGGCCCATTAACAGGTCTAACTATATTTATGTGATTTGTAAGTATTTGCCTAGCATATCCAAGTGTTTCCATATATTTCATTTGTATCCACGCATTTCTAAAGTGTATTTGTATTTATATCCATAACTAAGGGCCCGTTTGGCAAGTCTTTCTAGGAAGATCTTCTGGTAGCTCTGGCAGTCAAAAGACACATTGAGCTTTTGACTCAAGATCTAAGCAGCCCAAAGACTGTTTGGTAATAGTGATTATTCATTGAGCTGTTGAAAGACCATATCAGTCCGAAGACCAATTGGCATTGCTCGGATATGCACATTAGTGATGTGGGCTACTTAGTGCATATTTGACACTTGGCCCATCATGGTTGGGTCACAATGGCCCAAATGACAATTACTCAGGTATCAGTGATTTTGCATTTGGATTGTTGGGACAAGGCTCTTAGGATACATACACAAGCTCATAGGTCGACATTCATTTTTTAGAACAATACAGATGAGTATAAACACAAAAAAACAGTGGTTCCCATATCAAACCACAAACCACACTACCATATTTGCTTTAATCCATACATAGCACAACAAAATGGAACAGATGTGTTCACATTAATCCATACATAACACAACAAAATGGAAGGATGCATTCAAATTAATCCATATAGAACACAAACAAAAAACAGTTTGAAAATGGAATTGATCTGCTCACTTTAATCCATATCAAGCCACAAAAGATGAAACAAAAAAAAAACTAACAATCCAAATGGTGATGTGAGTTGTACATACACAAACCACAAACTGACCGACAGACGATCACCGCCATGAGAAAACCGAGTGCTGAATGATTTGTAATCTCCTATAAAAAATTGAAAAATCAGTGGAATAGGATGTGGTGGAAGCGGCGGTAGAAGAGAGAGGAAGCAAGGGAGGTAAAAGGAAGGGACAACAATGGCGAAAAGAAGAAGAAGAAAGGGGAGGAGGAGGAGGAGGAAGTAGAGGAGAAGGAGAAGAGGAACCTGCGAGAGTTGTGGCATGAGAGAGTGGGTGCATGTGAGGGTGTACGAGTGGTCGAGGGTTTTGGGGAATTTGTTGAGAGGCTATTGTTCATTTTGGTGTGCGTGTGAGCATTTGCACACGTATGAGGAAGCCCTGAGAGGGCGTAAAAGCTCGGAAGCTATGATTGGAGATTCATGAAATCAGCCCAAAATGGGCTTCTCGTGTCTTCTCGATGCATCAGCTTTTGGCAGCTAAATCTACTGTGAACCAAACGGGAAAAGATCGAAAATCAGTCTATCGGGCTTCTAAACAGACGGCAAACCGTGCAAAAAAGACTTGCCAAATGGGCCCTAAGTTGTTTGATACGATACTCGATACTCGATACTAATACTTTGATCCTTGTATATACATACAAGTGTGCATATAAAGATGCATATTTGATTACATACATGCATAAATAAATAAGTACATTTATGTCATATTTTAGTGTGGGATGATTGACCCAACGTAAACTTGACCCAAGCGTGAACCCAATTCAAGTGAATCAAATTTTAGTATGGGTTGGACTTGGGTTGGACAAATGGGTATTGACCTCAAGTTAAGTCCAGATTTAGGCTTTAAACCCAATTATAAGGGTTGGCTTCAGTTGAGCTTAAATTCCGCATAGCTCGCCCAACTTACATCGTACACCTTGAGGTGCAACTTGGGTTGGCTCAAGTTAGTATTTTACATTGCTTTAGGCTCAAGCTTTTAAGTCCGACCCATTCAATTTTTGTTAAATGCTTAACCCAAGTCCACTCAAGTTGCACCCTTGATTGCACATAGTCATGACTTATGAATCAAGGGTACGTGTTTGTTGTAGGAGATTTCACAATACTTTAATATGTTGCAATAAACAACAAAAAGCTTCCAAAGTAATGCCCACTTTTTTTTTTCTGATATGAGTAAGGGCCTATTCATTTCCTCTTAACTCTTATCTCTTATGAGGAATCTTTTAACTTAAAGAGAAAATCGGTTGTTCATTTCCTCTTATCTCTTATCTCTTAAAGTGCAATCATACAATTTTTTGTTTTCTAATGATACCCCCAAAAAGACAAACAAAAACTCTCATATATGGGGTCAAAATGGATATTTGATAGTTTTCAAAATTCATAATTTATAACAACATTCCCCGCATTCAAAATTCAAAGGAAAGAAAAGTTCATCAATACCAATATACCTCTTAATGTAATTATTACACTTTCAGATGTCAGACTTCAGAGCAAACGAACAAGCCCTAAATGTATAAATGCATTGCACTTGGTAATTTTGGATAACAACAACAACAATAATAATAATTTGTTTCCATGTGAAAAACCATTGTAGCAAAGACAATTAATTGTAGCATAGTGTATTGGTGGAGTTATTTTCATTTAATTAAAAAAGTTGTTTGTAAAATGTTGTTGGCAATTTATAATATTACATCATTAATATAAATATAACTCTTGCTTTCACAATTTTTTTTAATATGGTGAATGTACAATATTACAGATGCCTCCAAATTTTTTCTAAAAATTTTTATATTTTCTATAATATTTGTATTTTTATCTATTTCTAATTTTTGTTGTCTAATTATGACATTATGGGTTGACCCACTTGACTTAGACAATTGAACCATTGACTCTCAACTAGGAAAAAAATGGGTTTGCAAGTACATGGGATTAGGTTCCACCCTACTTGCAAGGTGGAACCTCTAGAAAGTTTCTATAAGCAACTAGCTTAAGGACACTGTAACGATGCCAAGTTCCTAATGTAGGTATTCCCCATAAGACATTAATTTGCCATTACAAATTCTTAGTATAGAGGGATGCCACAACAAAATAATGCATCTATAATGTAGATTCCCAACGCATTCTCGTAAGAAGTCACACCACAACAAAAGCTATTAAATACACTATAGAATTCTAGTTTCACATTGCAAACCCTCACATCCTTGCAATATTGACCACACACCTCTCTTTATAGCCTCATGATTTAGCCTTGTATTTGTACATCAGTCATATACTTTCCACTATATGGCCTATGTTAGCACTAACTTGGGATTGCCTTTCCAAAAGTAGGAAAACTTTCCTCCTTTTACTCAAGGAGATCCCTATAAATAAAGAACTCCTGAGGACCTTCACATAAATCCATTACTAAAACCTTGTGTGAGCTCTGCCTCTCTAGAGCCCTTACCTCTTTCAACCTTATGCTTTCTTGTCCTCAATCTCCTTAGAGACCACCACCACCGCCATCTACCATACTTTAGGTAGATATCCTCAATGCTTCCCACCTCAAACTTACATTAAGAATCTCTGATTGTCATCATGGACATAGAGATGACAACAATAAGGAATGACCAATCTCCCATCCTTGAAGACATGATGGAAGACAAACACCTAGTAGTCCCTAAAGTACCGTTGGAGTATAAAGATGGCGATGTGTTAGAAATCCTAGGTAATAAGGTTTGCATCCTCAACAATTGCATCATTGAGGTTATGAGACATTTGGGTGCCGTCAGAACCAAATTCCAAAA